CCCCGCTCGATTGGTTGAAATTAGCTGAAAAATAAACAAAAACTAAAATGTTTTGAAAGAAAATTACTATTCCAATTAAAAAAAAGCCAAATAAATCAGCTTTTAAGGTAAGCCAACAGAGCCTATATCTCCTGCTCGTTGCCCGGTCCGGCCTGATATATGATGACATCCTGACAGGCATGCAAAGCAGGTTTATGCTCCTAATCCATCTCTAACCGGCCAACGCATGCATGGATACACACATCATACATGCATGCATGCGCCCATATCTTGTATGGAGTCTCACTGCGTTTAGCTGGTATACTTTCAGCTTATTCTATACTATTCCATCGTAAAAAAAAAATCAAAAAACACTGTTCAGTGACCATCCGAACGAGCTGCTTCATGGATACGATGCGACAAATTTGCCTCTATTACCTGCCCCTGCTGTCACATCCGCAAGTTGTGCGCCTGGAGCCCTGGACCTCGATCGATCGCATGCAACAAGTTGTGTTGTGCCCCATATACGTGAACCAGCTGCTGCTCAGTGCTCACACCTAATGGCAGCTGGGGTCCTCGTCATCAGATCATCACTCGCCTAATTAATCCCGAATTTTTAATTTTTTAGCTCTTTTTTTTTGAAAAAAAATTCATAAATATATCACTAGAGGTAAGATTTCAAAATCTAGACTTTTATCTCGGTGCCATCGTTGCTGGCGCCGAGCTTACACTGCTCGATGCCATCGTTGCTGGCGCCGAGATCTTAGGCTCGACGCAGACGTGGCGGTGACTTGGCAGGCAGCTCGACGCCATATATCTTGATGTCAAGCTTGGCGCCGAGCTCGGCGTAATAGATCTTGGCGTCATATGGAGCCGAGGTGGTGTTTTAACCCCGGCCCCAATATTCTGCCCGAGCCTTTTCTTTTCTTTCTCCTCCCTCTCGGGTTTTTTCTCTCCCCACTTCGCCATACCTCACGAATCGGCATATTTAACCTTGAAAACTTTGATTTGATCCGTAGATCTTCGAGAGCAATGTATCATCGCTCTCCTCCTAGTTTTTTTCACATTGATTCGGTATATATTAGTCGGATTTTTCAACCTAAGAATCGTCATTACTTAGGGTTTCATACAATTTTTAATATTTGTACTATACAAACCTAGGTTTAGGGTTTAATGTTAATTACTTTTGGTTCTTAGAACAAAATTGGTTGTATTATAGTTATGGTTCTCAGTAACATTAATTTGTGATGTTTTAATTTTTGTTTGTTAAATTACAACCGTTTTGTTAGATGTAAGAAATGTATCGGGAGAAGTTTTGGCGAAAACGGGGTCGTCCTCGAGAATTATACCCCAACGCGTCTAGCAAAGATGCCCCCGTCCCTCCTGACCTCCCTGTCCCTAATTGTGACTGTGGTTTCCCGCCGGCGTGTTTCAATCGAGACATCCAGACACAGCGACGCGTTACTTCTACACATGCAGTCGTTTTAATGTAAGTAATTGTTTTCACTATTTTTTTTTTCTTTTGTGTAAGTAGGCTACTAATATTTTGTTGGAATCATGTTGTGTAGGACCATGAGAGGTGCTTTTTCTTTCAGTGGATCGACGGTGCAGACAAGTTTAACCCTAGGTACCTTCTTTTCGATGATTGATGTAGAGGGAGACATCCACGTGAGCACTTCAAGCGGTGGGTTCCCCCCTAACCCCCCGCCAATGACGGCTAATGAGAAGCACCCAGCCGCAGTTAGACGACTCGAAGAACCTCCTCTGTGCGAATGCGGAGATCGAGCTGTGATAAACTCTGAGAATATGTTGGAGTTTATGTGTCCGAACAAACACAAAGTAAGTGGAAAGTGTATCTATTTAAATGTTTATCTCTATAGGTGTTCGTGTACTAATGTATTCTCTTATAGCGTTATGGATTTGTGAAGTGTCGTTTCAATGAGTGGCTCTACGGTCCAATAATCAATGGCCGGAGCCACCAAAGGCAAAGGAAAAGAAGAAAGAAATGTTAATTTACAAAGCACCTCTAGTTAAGTGCGAATGTGGTGTTAAATCCAACTACGGTCTAGTCTCTTCGGAGCTTGGAATAGGCCATTATTGTGGCCATATGGTTGACTATGATGAGGTTGATTATTTTTATGGTAAACATGAAGTAAGTGGAAAGAGTACAGATGCAGGTCTTGAGCGAGCATGTTGTTGCATTATGTGCTAGTAAGTGCTTGAAAGCCTTTTTTCGTTGCCTGATTTTAAATGTAATATAATAGCGTTGCTAACTGATTGTATTTTATACATGAAGGGATTGGATGCAGTGATGACCATGCCGTAGAGGTGGTTCGTGTAAGGTATGAGGAAAAAAAAGTTAGATGAGCACAGAACGCGAGCATGGTCCTCGCTGAGGAGGATCTCATGAGGAGGATCTACCACAACAATATGAGTCTGACAAGCATCTCCAACTATCTCATTGAGGGCAGATTGAACATCGGAAACCGTAGGTGCAACCTCACATCCATATCAGGTTCTGGGACGGGAGGGTCGAAATGTGTCTACTGGCCCATTGGTGGGGAAAACCTAAGAGGGATGGGATCAACTAACACCCGACGCACAACCACGTCCAAACATTGCAGCTGGCTCTTCATAGCCGATCTCACATAGTTCTTCCACTGATCCACACATCCAATTGGGATCATTCGTCTGAGGATATTGAGAGGAGAACCTAGGTGCAGTACACCCTCAACTGCAATGCCATCATCATCATCTTCAAGGCAATGCAGCTCCTCCCGAGCCCTTGCAACTATCTCACTAAATGAAGGCCTATTATTGAATAGCATAGGCACGCTTTGCATGTCAACGAACTCAACATATCCATAGTGATCGCTTTCAATGGTGCCTCCATGATATATGGTCACTAGGTTGTCCATCTATTTCAAACACATAACGAAACACATGTCCTTTAGTCAAAAATACACGCTAACTACTAACGTGAAGGTCTCTAGTATTTAGATAAGTAAATGTATACTATGTACTAAGTACTACATATATATACTAAGTACTAAATATATAAATATGTATGTATCTAACTATGTAATAACTATATACGAAAACTAGTTATACCAACATAAGTATTTATATATCTATCTAAAAATCTATCTACCTATTACACCTTAACTATTGTTAACTAAGTACTAAATTACCAATTCAAACGAATAAAGTAACTTACTTTACTATGTAGTCGGTGGAGCGTCGGTGGAGTGCAACAGCAAGCCGTCGGAGCGCCTTGGTGTGCCTGGGCCGGAGCTCCCGCGCGCCTTGGCGTGGCGGGTAAAGGCGAGCACGCAACACGACGGACCCGTCTTGAGGGCGGCAGCACAGACGGCGGGCGAGGGCGCAGCAGCACCACACGCGGGCGCGCCAGGCGCGACGAGCCGCGGGATGGGGGCGGGCGAGCAGTGAAGGCAGCGGGCGCGGCAGCAGGGTGCAGCGGCGCTAGGGTGGCGCCTGACGATGACGATGGCGGGCGGACGCGACGACCTGACGACATGGCGTGGCACGCGACCATGAGGGCGCCATGGCGGCGCAGAACTGCTGCTGCATGCGAGTGGCACGACGGTGTGGGCGGCGGGTCATGAACGGGCGGCCTTGCGGTGCGGTGGTGGCGCGAAGGGACGTAGAGAGAAAGAGAGAGGAAGAGAGAAAGGAAATGGTCCATACGTAAGAGGGCCCGGCGTCAGGATTGTTGGCGCCGAGCTCGGCGCCAAGATCCACGGCGCCGAGCTGGCTGCCATGTCAGCGTCCATGGTGCCAAGGTGGCCCCGAGTTCGGCGCCAGCAACGATGGCGCCGAGCAGTGTAAGCTCGGCGCCAGCGGGTTCAGATTTTGAAATCTTACATCCATGGGGTATATTTGTGATTTTTTTAAAAGGGCTAAAAAATAAAAAATTCGGTAATTAATCATGGATTTCTACTGTGCAACTACATACATACAGAGAGGAAAAAAAAAGGGGGGCTCGTCGCGCCGGCTAGGCTAGTACATGTTCAGTAGGAGTACTGTATGATGTATGCATGCTGCACATATTCGGTTGGCTGATTCGTTTTATTGCTGGTTCATGAAGAAGTACTGCTGATTGATTTGTATGAGAGAAAAATATTTTTCAGTTGAAAATTTACGATCATTTTACGAAAAGCCACGGCCAATCAAACATGCTGTAAATACAGGCACACGCAGCTCTCACTCAGTGAGCGTATTAAATGGTGGGGCGTACCCGTACCCGGGTTCGGGTTCTGGTAGGCGTATGCCGCCTGCCCTTTCTATCAGGATCTGCCTCACCTACCGGTCTGTGTATTAACCGGCCTGAGATTGGAGGATCTAGTGGTAGTAGCAGTACTGAGGATAAGCTACAGATTACTCCACAATGAACTCCATTAATTGTTGCTGAAGCTAAGCTAGCGAGGTGTGTGTTCATGGAATGAATATGGTCAATCAGCTTTGTTTTACCCTACCTACAGACCACGGTTCACTTGTCTTATGGGCCATTTTCAGCAAAGGAACATTGTTTTTTAACTTACAGCGAATCAGCGACCAGTAATTTTCAGTTTTTCTTTTCAAAGGGATAGAAATAGAAATCACCAAAAATTTGACCCAAATTTATACCACTACGATTCCTACACATACAATTAATATACTCCTACTATACTAGTTGTACATTGCATTGGATCCTTCGATCCGCACCTACTACTAGTAGTCTATTGCTACGCGCACCACCTACATGTCACTAATAGGAAAAAAAAAGGTACTCCGATCAAGAGTGTAGTGACAGCGTCCAATTAATCACCCTGTCGTTAACTAATTTGCTTGGTTAATCATCATCAGAACACTTTAACCATCAGCAGGCAGGAGGTATGGTATCGAGATTCGAGATTAGCAGGTCATCCATTCAGGCGACAAGCCGCAGTGGAGCACTACCAGTGGCGCGGGCACGATCACGATCACGATCGCCGTCGCTGCCAGTACCAGCACTCGCCTCGTCAGTCGTCACCCTCCACCGCCGCCTCCACGTCCACCTGGACGTCGCCCGCGGCGGCGCGGTAGTAGCAGGAGGAGCAAGGGGCGACATGGTTCACTCCGCCACGCTGATGCTCCACCACCGCTGCTGCTGCTGCGGCGGCGCCGGTTGTGACGACGGCGTCGCTGGCGACACTGGTGGTAGTGGCCGTCGTGCTGCTGCTCGAGGTGGTGGTGGTGGTGGTGCTAGTCTCGGCGGCGGTACTTGAGGGCGCGGAGGAGGAGGAGGACGACGACAGACTCAGGAGCAGGTCCACGAAGGCGCAGACGATGAGGTGGTGCTGCTGCTTCCCGTTGATCCGGAGGTACCACGCCAGGAGCTCCTCCAGCGCCGCCCAGTCGCGGAGCCCGTGCGCGGACACCATCTCCTCCATCGACGCCCGGAAGTCGCCGTACGGGTCGCCCGAGTCCACCGCCACCGCCACGCTGCGCTCCGCCAGAGACGTCGCCGTCGTTGGTTGCTGCTGCTGCTGTGTCTGCTTGACGGCGTCGTCGTCCGCGTCATCGTGAACGCCGCGCGTTACCGTCGTCTTCTCCTCTTCCGTCTCCGCCGGGGGGAGTGCCTTCCTCGCCGGCTCGGGTGCTGCGGCCGTGACGAGGATGGAGTTGGACGCCGGCAGCGGGCCCGGCGGGTCGAAGAAGAAGCGGTCGGTGGACGTCCGCCCCAGGCTGCGGATCACGGCCTCCGACCACTCCTCGGACGCCGTGGTGGTCGAGAAGCTGCCGTCGTCGTCGTCGTCGTGGAGGTAGAGCCGGCCGTCAGCCGCCCCTTCCTCCCCGTCGTCGTCGCAGGCGAGGGAGAGGGAGAAGAAGTCGTCCGCGGCGGGGTCTTCCAGGTAGACCGAGTTGACCGTCTTGTACATTTCGCCGCGCGCCGCCGCGTGGGCGCCCCGGCGACCTGCTGCTGCCGTCGCCGTGCAGCAGGGCTCGCCAGCGCCGGCGCGGAAGGAGGCCGTCTGTGGGTTGGTCCCGCACGGCGGCCACGGCCACGGCGAGGAGGCGGCGGCGGCGGTGGACGTGGAGGAGGGGGCGCCGGAGTCCACGAGCCGGGAGAAGATGGAGACCAGGCCTTTCTTGCCCATTGTGGCCTGGGTCTGGGTGGGATGAACGGTGGATGGAGCGACGGAATGCAGTGAGGCGATGGGTGGTGGATGGAATGGAATGGAGTGAATTATTGCTGTCGCGCGAGTACTCGAGTGACGAGTCTAGCTCGAACGAATTGAAGGCCAGACGGATCGGAGAGGGAGAGGAACTGAAGTCAAGTGGTTGAGGAGACGAGAGGAGGAAGATGAGATGAGAGTAGGATGGAGAGGCTGGCTGCAATTAAGGAGGAAGCGAGAAGAACATGGGGGTGGGCCCGTGGCTCATGCATAATGCAACGTTCTGTTCGTTAGATGGTGATTAGCAGACTGGACACCATTGGGCACGAGAGACACGACTGGTCTGAACCATTTCTTTTTTTTTTTTTTTGAAATTGAAAGGGATTGTGCCATTGTTTGGTACTCCTACACGCGACACTTCTATAGCACGAGAACGCCAAGTTCAAATTTTGGCAAGTTTTTCGCACCAAACTTTGGCTGTTCCGCGGCCGCTTTTTCTCCGCTCACAAATTACTGTGGCAAAAGCGGGTGTAGCCGAACGTGCCGCATAAGTTAAAATTTTGGCACGTCAGTTTGCATCCAAATTTAGATTTTTCCGGCTACTCTGGAAAAACCAGCGAGTGTATATGGATTCACTCGGGCGTGGTTAGATGGATGCATAAGCTTTGATGATACGAATGCCTGTTTCGTTCGGATTGGTCGACCGAGTGCATACGTTTATTTTTAGTGGATTATATATTTCACTCGAAATCGGTTTAATTGACTCGGGTCAGTCGTCAAGAATTGGTGATGCCTCAGGCCGGTCTAGTTAGTTGGTGCTACTAGAAACGAACTCAGGCGGTCGGATCAATCGATAAAGCAATAAGCGTGCGCCCAACTTGCCCCGTTCGCTTGAACAGGGCCGGAACTACGTCCATCTCACTCCTAGGGATGTATTTTCGAACCTCTTAATGAAACACACGCTTCCAGCGCGTTCGCGAAAAAAAATGAGCGGGGATGCAGACGTGGAGCGGATGGCGCGCTGGAACCTTTGACGGCAGCAGCACGAAACAAACACCTTTAAGAGAGAGTGCCGCTTGTCTCACCTTCTGCGTGGCTGGTTTCGATCGCCTCCCAAATAGACTCTTTGTTTTGTTCGCCATGAGTTTGATGCCGTCAGAAATCCGACGTGGAGAGTTTACTAGGTGAAGCCTACACTGTGTCGTGACGCGAGCGTGTGGCAAACAAAACGTCCGCCCAAGTTTTATTTGGTGAGCCAACACGTGAAAATGAGCAGGGATGCGAACACGGAGTGGAGGGCACGCTGGAAGCTTTGGCGAGCACCGGCATGCCTGTTTGCTTGGTTAGAGAAAGTGCGACTTGTTCCTCCTTCCAACCAACAAATATTATTTTTTTGCTCTCACACGAAATCGATGTAATAGAAACCCAATGTGGCATTATAACAAGGGAAGTCAAAGTCAACCATGTTGAATAAGGCGCGTGGAAACAAAACACCTTTTAGAGAAAGTGCGACTTGTTCCTCCTTCCGTGCGGCTGGTTTATTTGTTTTGCTCGCCACGAGTTCGATGTAGCCAGAAACCCAATGTGGCATGCTTACAAGGGGAAGTCTACCATGCTGTGGCGCGAGCGTGTGGCAAACAAAACGTCTGCCAAGCTTTTATTGGTGAGCCAACACGTGCAAATGAGTGAGGATGCGGAGTGTGCGCCGCAATCTTTAGCGAGCAGCGACACGAAGCAAACACTTTTTAGAGAAAAGTGTGGCTTGTCTCACCGTCCGCGCAGCTGGCTGGTAAGTTCTGCATGATGACTACATGGCGCCGCAAGAGGATGGAGTTCTGAGAATACAAGAGGCAAGCTGCAGCTTATCCAGCTAAGCACCCTGAGACTGATTAAGCACTGGTATTAGACATGGAAAGGATTTCGAAAGAGACCTTGCACGAGTGGCATAGCAAGTACTGTACTCTTGTTGCAATTGCAAATGGGGTTACTTGTGGTACCACGTACCAGCCTAGGATCTGGGCCGGCCTCTGGGGTTTGCGTTGCTCATCTGCACCGGCACGGTCAGAAGGTAAAAGCCCACGTCCCGGTGGTTGACTGGTTGGTGGCCGCAGTCAATTACGCGTTCTGGGGTTTGCCTGCTCTGGTTGGCACTGTGCATGCATGGCGGGCACTCGGCCGGCAGCGGCAGGCAATGGCATGTCAGCACCCAGGCCCCACCTGCAGTCCCCTTCTACCAGCTCGGCGGCTACATCGCCTGAGCCCAAGCCAAGAAATCCACGATTTGGTATCAGACTTCAGATCCTGCATCCTGACCTCAGATCCACCTCACCCACACTTCACCTAGTTCCAAAGATCGCTCGGAGCCATGGAGCCGAACCTGAAGATGATCATGGAGGAGATCCAGCGTTCCAAGGAGGAGTTCGGACGCCGATTCGACGACTACGATGCAAAGTGGGAGCGCCGATTCGCCGACCTCTACCGCGACCGCGCGAATCGGGACGCCGTCGTCGACCTCCGCTTCGAGTACCTAGAGTCCGCCTGCGGCGCGCTGCAAAACCTCAACCTCGAGCACGTCCACGCCGAGCAGGACAGCCGCATCACCGTCACTGGAGGCCGCCGCCACTGACCCCGGCACCAGGCGCCCAGAGTTCGAGGGGGTCGTCGACGACCTCTCCCTCAAGGTCCAAAAGATCACCAAACACTACGACCGCATGGTGTTCAACAATTCGCTTCACCAGCCAGGCATCTTCTCGACCCCGACTTCGGCATCCGCGCAGCCTCTTGCTGGCACCGTCGCCGACTCGCCCAGTGGGCACGACATTGCACATACTACACGGGATCTTGGGTACGTCGCCTCCCTCCCCCTCCAGTGTTGCTTTGCCATCTCTTTCGATGCATCTTCCACCACCAACACCAAATCCTCCACCTCTACCACCAAATCCTCCACTCCTAGCACCAAATCACAAGTACCCGCCACCAATTCCTCACCCCCACCTCTCAACCAGCTTCCACCTATACAACATCCACCACCACTTCATCATCCACAGCCACTTCACCAATTTCCCCTCCCACCACACCATTCCAATATGCCCGACCCAAATCAGATCGCTGCCAACCTTGGCCGCCTTCCTAAGCTGCCCTTTCCTAAGTTCAACGGTGAAAATCCACGCCGTCGGGAGAAATACTTCAAAATGTACCAAGTGGATGAACCTATGTGGATCAGCGTTGCCGAGATGTATCTTGAAGGGCCAGCCGATCGTTGGTACTAGTCCATAACCCCTCAGCTTGAGAACGCTACATGGGATACCTTCTATGGCCTCCTACATGATCGCTTCGATCGTGATCACCACGAACTCCTACTTCACTAGCTATTCAATGACTACTAGAAAACCACCATGTTTGCCTATGTCACTGAGTTCTCCAAGCTTGTTGATTAGCTTAATTCCTATTCCCAAACCAACGATCCCATGTATTTCACCGTGCGTTTCATCGATGGCTTGAAACCTGAGATCAAAGCAATTGTAATTGTTCAGTGTCCAAAAACGTTCGATGCTGCTTGCTCCTAGGCGTTATTGTAGGAAGAGGTGGTTGTGCCTGTGGTAGTCAAGCCCACTCACGGAGGTGATTGGTATTCTGCGTACAAGCCAGCGGTGGCTGCTCGGGGGCCGTTGCCGCTCCTGCCACCGCCACCGAGCCCCGAGAAGCCCGTTCCTGCCGCTCCGGCGCTTGCGGCCTCGGCGCAATCTTCTGCTGATCAGAAGCCGGCCGCCATCAAGACCAATCGTGGTGCTCTTGGTCTCTACTACAAATGCACAGCCAAATGGAGCAAGGACCATCGCTGCTCGCCAGAGGTGTTGCAAGCTGTGGACGCCCTGTGGGATTCATTCTCGTCTGAGGACTCTTTGGCTGATTCTTCACCTGATGATGACCCGACTGCACATCTCATGCTGGTGCTATCCAAGTCGGTCATGTCTGGTATTCTAGCAGCCCGTACAGTTCGATTGATGGGGTCCATTCAGCAGATTCCTGTGTAGATTCTGGTTGACTCGAGCAGCTCATCATCTTTCATCAATTTGTCTCTGGTCTCGCAGCTTGAAGATATTCAGGTTTCTTCTCGACCTAGCTCTGTTCAAGTCATTGGTGGGAGTCTGCTAGTCAGTCAGTCAATTCTATGCAATGTTCCATGGATAGTTGATAAGTGCACCTTCTAGTCCGACTTCAGATCCTTGCCACTGGCAAATTTTGATGTTGTTATTGGCATGGATTGGTTAGAAGTTAACAGTCCGATGCAAGTAGACTAGAAACAAAAATGGTTGGTTGTACCTTATGAAGGTTCTATTTAGATGCTTCAAGGTGTGACTGCTACAATGCCTCGGCACATATTGCTACACATCAAAGGCGTGCCCGAAGTGCCTAACTCCGGTCCTTTGTCAGCTATTCCGTCAGTGGTACAACCTCTATTGAAAGAGTGAAAGGACCTAGGATGCCACCTAGAGGGGGGGTGAATAGGCGTTTCTAAAAATTAATACCTTTAAAAGCGGAATCGATTTAGTATTGGGAGTTTCCAAGTGGAAACTCCAAATCAGAGTAATACAACCCCTCACAAGTTAGCCAACGAGTAAATAAACAATATTAAATAATTCTAGGAGCCTAGAACCTACAACACAAGAGTTAGAACAAGGATCAAATAAATTTAGCACTGAGCTCTAATACAGGACATGTCCGGTAGGTCCGGTATACACGTGTTCTGCAAAACAGCCCCAAACTTGCTCCTTTTTTATTTCAATCTTCAGACCAATCTGTAGCCAGCCACTAAAGATAGTGCCACACACAGGTAACCTACACAAGAGCTAGAGCAACACAAATATCAAATAAAATGCGAATTGAGACACGATATTTGTTTTACCAAAGTTCGGACTCCGTTGAGTCCTACTCTCCATTGAGGGGGCTACGGGTGACCCAACGAAGGTCAGCCCTAGAGG